TATTATTATTATTATTATTATTATTATTATTATTACAAGGATTATTATTATTATTATTGAAATTATTAATAAAGATTTCTTTCTTCAACCAGGGCGACTCAGGTTTTGACTGGGGGGGCTGGCGCGGGGGCAGGTCTGGCTGTCCTGGCACGATGCTGGGCAGGGGGCTGCGGGCAAGGGGGGTCCCGCTGGGCCCCCCCCATCCTTGCCATAGCACAGGAGTGGGGAGGACCCTCCCCTTGGCTGTGCCGAGCCCTTCGTTTTCCAAACCTTCAGATAATTCATTTTGGAGCGAGTCTCCCCGCCGGAGGAGCAGCAGTTTAACTGCTGACATATTAATTTTCCTGACCGGGAGCCAGCATTGTTGGGGGGCACGAGGCGGGCGCTGGGGCTGGGTGACCCCGCTGCGCCCCGCGCTCGCCTGCTCCCTGCCTGCTAATTGCTTGCTCACCAGACTGTGAGAAAATAATTGCTGCTATAAATTTTTCTCTCCTTCTCTGCAGAAGGTAGGGATGGGGAGGCAGCCTGGGCGCTGCCAGCCCCGGGGAGAGGGCAGAGGGGCTGGCGGTGGGTGCTGGGGTGGGGGCCGTGGAATTGGGCGCAGCGGGGTCCGGTGCTGGGATGCTCCTCAGGGCTGCGCACCGCAGGGGAGCCAGTGCTGGTTCCCAAGGTGGGCACAGGGATTTGGGGGGTGTCTCAGGGCGAGCAGCCCCCCCCAGCCTCATACACGCAGTTTGCAGGCAGCAAGGGCTGCAGGACGTTGGGGGGCAGCCTCTTGCAGGACCCAGAACCCAGCGGACCCCCACGGTGAGGGGTGAGAGAAGAGGGATACAGGGAACCAGGGTGAGAGAAGAGGGATGCAGGGAAGCGGGGTGAGAGAAGAGGGATAGAGGGAACCAGGGTGAGAGAAGAAGGATGCAGTGAACCAGGTGAGAGAAGAGGGATGCAGGGAAGCGGGGTGAGAAAAGAGGGATGTGGGGAACCAGGATGAGGAAATGCAGCCTCCACCCTCTCAGACCCCCCCCAACAGCGGCTCTGCCGTGCCCCCCAACCCCACCAGCACAGAGGAGAAGATGCAGATGCACCACGCTGGCCTTTAATACCCGTCTGCGCTGGCACCACGGACCAGGTCGGAATAGACCAGCACCAACCGCCCCCAGTGCTGGGGGTCCACGGGCAGCTGGTCCCGCAGCACCGGTTCCACCAGCAGCTCCAGCCGACAGGACTGCCCGGGTGCCGGCCGCGGCACCGCCAGGCCCACCGCCCGGTACAGGCAGGCATGTGCCAGCCCCAGCAGCTGCGGCGACGTCTGGCCCCGGCGGCAGCGGGCACCCAGGCTGAGGACACGGAAACAGCTGGCACGGCCGGGGGGGAAGGACCAGCGCAGGGTGAGGCTGAGCGAGAGCTCGTCCTCCTCGGGGCCCTCCTGCCACCAGAGCTGCGAGGCCAACAGGCTCTGCACCGGCGGCGGGGAGGCTGCCACGTTGGCCGCCTCCAGCACCTGGGGAGGGAACCGTGGCACTGTCAGGGAGGAGAACTGTGGGTGCCCACCCACCCTCCCGGCGTGGGGCTGCAGTGGGGCGGGTGGCACTCACCCGGATCTCCCCGAGGAGGCAGGTGAAGGGTGTCTCCTGCGGGCTGGGCTGGTGGCGGGACACGAGCAGGGAGAGGTCTCGCAGGCTGCAGTCCTGCAGGTCCCGCTCGTAGAACCTG